ATTTGTGGGGGAAAAGAACATCTCACTCCTCTCCCTACTGATCCTTCGTACCCAGTTAAAAACTCAGGTTCTTTCAGAAGTCTTTTCTTTCTGTGCATTTTAAGTACAAGTGCTACGCTCACGAAACTGTAGATTAAGTGTACAGAATTGTCACGTATGGTGACACCATCAGGGTGGTTACCTCCCAGGCACAGCCACGCGCAACACAGTTTTCTGCAGAAGCACCGTTCTCATCTGGATAACAGTCTATTTTTTCTGCATCCTGTATTTTCAGGTCCCATTCCACCGTGTATACTTCTCCCAGGACGAGGTCAAGTCCTGTGATAAGGGCCACCTGTAGGAATGGAGTGACAAGGAAATTTACCCTCAGGACAGAGGCCTTGCAAGATCTGACACTTCTTTTGGGAAAGGAAACAGAAATCAGACCAGACTCAACAATTCAAGTCACAAGCCACTGGAGTTTATATGAAGAGAGCTATTTGGGTGGTAGGTCGGGGGGACTATCCAATAGCAACAGGGCAAATGTCACAACTCTGTGAATCTTACATATGACATTTTGAAAAGAAATTTGTCAAATGAAACATTTTGTAATCACCCCTTTCCCTCCTCCCCCAACTCCTCCTCCTCTACCTTATTTTGTAGGGAGGGTTTCTCTTCTGCATTTTTCTTGTAGCATAACACACACACACGCGCACGCACACGCGCACACACACACGCACACACACGAGCACACGAACGCACACGCGCACACACGCATGCATGAGCACACACACGCACACGTGCACACACGCACACACACGCACACACACGCGCGCACACACACGCACACACAGTGTAATCCCTAATTCAGTTTATCTTCTTGCCCTCCATTCTCCAAACCAGTGTCCCCCATTTATATGGATCGGTGACAAGAACACAGGAACAAGCATATATGGCCTAGTTCTCATCTCCATTCTGCTGTTGAAATTTAGATGAATCACTTCAATTCTCTGGATCCCAGTCTCATCAACTGCGAAACTGGCGAACTGGTAAATTCATTACATTTCCTTCTATTTCTAACATCCCAGCCTCTTCATTTCTCCAAGACCAAAGCCTCAAAACATAAAACCTTCTTCATTGACTCTCACACAGTAATTAAGATGTTTAATATTTTTTCTATGTATTTTTCTACTCTAACGAGGCCATGGTGGCTAGAATGAAGCAGCCACTTCCAAGCACAAGGAAGAGAAGACCTCAGCTCTGACAACCTGGAGCCACCAAACCAGTTCCAGCAGCCGACCGCCCTCTAACCTCTTACTGCAAAAGGAAAACAATCTCAGTTTGTTGAAACCACCATTTTGCTGAATTTCCTGTCACTTGTAGCCAAACAAATCTCGATGTAATGTCTTTCAAAGTCCATCATCTGCCCTGCCTTCTCCGAGGGCTTTGCTCAACTGCTCCATTAAGCTTTTAACTTTATATTAGCATAATATAAGGGTTCTTAAGTGTTGCTTTGGATTGCCTATCCCCTACCCAGTAGTTCCGTGTGTATAAATCATATCTCCCCACTACCCAAATTTAAACAGAGTTCTTTTGGCCCTATATCAATTAATTTCTTAAAACAAACATTTATTGAGTTTGTTTTCATACATGCAGCATTCAGATGGCTTGCACTTTGGTGTACTCATAACCAAAGAAAACCAATACTTTATTTCTAACTTTATAATGTATGTGTCCTTCATGTATGCTGTCAGGACAAAATGTCAAATGTCATTGATATCATTATAGTAGAAGACCAAATTTACTTATTTGCTCCAAATGTGAAAGGTCCCCCACAAACTACGCTGACCCAGCCACTGCTAAGCCCAGATCATGCCCGTGGTCAGGAGTATTTGGGGAGAGGGCTCCTCATTATGCTAAGACATCAGTGGAACTGGTTACGACCTGCCCAAGAATGTCAGGTCTCATTACAACTGATGAAAAATTATTATCATCATCTAACCAAACAAGTAGCCATTAATTAGGCTTGCCAAATTCTTTGACATAAAATAGTTTCTAAAAATGTGTGTGTTGACGTGAGAATCTACATAGCTCAAGAGATTAAAAAAACACACACGCCTCAGACTTTTCGTTAGTGGGAATCTCGCCTCCCGCCTTTACCTTTCTAGCATCGCCAGCAGCTTTCCGATCTACTTTTCCTCTAACCCTGTTTCCCGGGCTCCTAACTTTTCCTTCTTCTGCCCCAGTCAGAGAGAACAGAAAACCTGAGGTGAGTCAGGAAGTAAGGATGGAGAGACCGGTTTTCCCCGTCCAGTTTCTCAGCAGCTCCCTCATCGCTTCCAGCTCTGGCATAGTCCTCATTTTTTCTCCTCTCCTCACCCTCCGACTTCCCACCCCAGGCCTCAGAGAGTATTCTGGTCCTTCAGGATCCGTGGCCTTGGCAAGAAGAGACACCACAAACTATAAAGAATTTGTGATAAACGATCTCAACAAAATGGATTTTTACCTGTAGGTTAGAATCATAAGTGACATTAGGAGAAACTTGACTTGAGACGCCATTATGTTTCACTGTAATGTTGTTAGGTTCCTGGGTTCCAAGGATTTTAATCTCTTTAAAAACTAAATTATTGGGGTCTTTGTAGGTTGACTGCAAAATCTTCACATCCAAGCGGTTCTGCAAAACAAGCACAAAGGTCTACCTATGATACTCAGATTCTCAAGTCACTCAAATATTCCACGCTGCCTAAAACTGCTCTGCCTGCCTCTCGGCTGTCTTTGCTAATGTGTGCTTAAGGGGTACAAACTGATCTTGATACTCCCCAAGTTGGAAAAGAGACAGAGTCAAATGGATGGGACAGAGAAAAAGACATGCTCACAGAAATTTTTTAAAAACTGAAGGCTTTGATTTATCCATATCATTCTCTGTTTACTAACAGAGATGACTCAATTATTGGGAATTAATCCATATATTGAAACATGCTCACCTACAGTCATAAATGCATATGAAGCTACAAATATAATTACACACATAAACAAACACGCATGACTCATGGTCAGACAAAAGCTCACGCATAAGATCCATAAAATATACTACTCACTTGAGTGACGGAAAACTCACAGAAGAGATAAACTTTATTGGCCACAGTATCTGAAAGGGAGAGAAAGATGAGTCAGACTCTGGTCTGCCCACCACAGACAAACAGATTTTACTGTGCTGTCCTTGAAGATGCATCTTGAGAATGACAGGATTATAGGCAGCGTCTCCCAGGCCGAGCCACTGTTTTCCCTTTTCATTTCTACCTTGACCTTGAAAAGGTTCCCTTCCAAAGGAACCAAGGCATATGAGCCACAAGAGTTGTGAGTGTCCTGGAGACAGAATAATGTGCTAAGAAGCTAGAAGTAGACACACTAGAAAAGTGTATCCTCACTGCCTCACCGGCATGGATACGTTTTCCATATCATCGACATTTGTTCATTAGTATTTCAGGGGGTGATGTCTATACGGAATGGCAGGAAGAGTCTTGAAAGTATCTTTCAGGTTCTCGCTGACAATAAAATGAGAGACTATGAATATTGCTGGCCACTGGGAGAATTCTAACAGGTAGAAATGCGTTTTCCTTCCATCATGGGTCTGTCTACCACTACCCTCGAACAGTGCAACCAAAAACAAAATTTTCCTTCTTGAGTGGTTAAGCCTACAGTGCCTGGTACGGTTTCTCCCACAGCTGAATGACCAGCAGGAGTATCTCAAAGATGCAGGCTCGGAAATGGAGACATCGTCAGCAGTGCTCACCTTTTGTTTCCCCATCGTCCCAGAAAAGCTCCCCTTTTGCTTCTTTGTTATCATCTAGGGCAATGATGAGACCGAGAGGGTTCCGGCGACTGTGGGAGACAAGATTGATTAAGAGATAAAGACTTAAAACTCAAAGAATTTTGTGAAAGGAGTTAGGAACAATTCCTTTGAATTTGAAATGAGAAAGGGTACTGGCAGCAGATGGCTCTGCTTGTCTTCAGGCACGAAGGCAAAATCGACAGGTGCATCTTTCTCTAGAATCAGTAATGTCACAGGAGATAGGAACACCCCAAACATGAGCAATAAACATCTATGTAGGAGGCAAGAATTTAAGCACCAGAGTCACTGGAGTAGCTATAATAAAAGCTGCTGATGTAAATATTGTATAGAATATAGACCATTAGAAGAGAAAGAAATCCTAGACAGTGATTGCTTCAGCCTAATGACTTTAGAGACGATACATGCGGGAGAAGTATTAACTGGTGGGGGAATATATTTTCTTCTCTGCCTAAAAACCATTTTGACCCAGAAAGCAATAAAATACAATAAGGTCCATTCTCTATAATGGCAACTTTCCTAATTTTATTATTTATTATTTGTTTTGAGAGAAAAGTAAAACGTTCTCATTATCTTTATGTTTCATAACTCAGAATAAGAAACACACAAAACTATTCAAAAAGATGGTGAAGCAGATGAACATAGAGGAAAAGGGGGAAAGAAAGAGCAAACGCATCTGGACTCTTTCCTGATTTCACCACTCCTCTCGACTGCCTACCAAGTTTCTGCTCCTGTCGCATCCCTCGTGACCTCGAGCCCCCATTGTATGCGCTCACAGCTCAGCCTTCCACGCTGCCCTGTGCGCGTCAGGTGCCATTATCAACAAAATCACCTGCTTTCATCTAACGCGCATGTATGGAGTGGCTTTCGTTTGCTAGGAAGTGTGAGACAAATAGATCATATTCCACTGATGACCTTAAACATTGTAAGGAAGATCAAACATATTCACCAAATAATCAAAGAAGGAAGTAAAGAGTGACACAAAAGCTAAAATACAGAAGTCTAAAATGACACCTGTAGCAGTGCGGTAGACTAGATATTCGGGAGGACCTAGACCTTCTGAAGGACCCATGCACTAAAATACGATTTGGTCCTGGATAAATGACAACACATGTCCCTTGACGGGAGTTAACGTGACCCCAAGTTGACAGCAGTCTTGGCTTGCGACCACAGAGAAGGCGAATCCTCTCTAGAGGAACGAGATCCACATTTGGACCGTAAAGATCACCACATTTGAAAAACAAAAACTACTCAATATATGAAGTAATAAACCAGCATGACAGAGAGTTGGCAAAAACAACTGACAAGTGATTTTGATTCCACTAAGGACTTTAAATAATAGAATTTTCAGATACAAAGTATAAAATAACTATGATTGAAATACTTAACAATATCAAGGAAAGGAAAAAAAAATCAGCTGAACAGCAAAAGAATTAAAAAAAAAACAATAACCATAAAACTGGAAGTGGCCGCATTTCTTCAGCCAAAGAGTTGGGGGAGATTTCTTGCCAATAAAATCTGATTTTAATCTGAAGGATTATTAAGAATGCATCAGGCAAAGATTGTTGAAAAGGATAATAAATGCTGATGTCCAAACGCAATAAAATGGATGGGCGTGTTTGAGGAATAACAAGATTTTTGGCATGGCTCGTTTACAGGTGTGTTTTAAGGTGTGCCAGGAGACACAGTGAACTTGGAACCAGACTGTGATTGGCCTTGAAAGCCGTACTAATGCGAGGGTTTGAACTTCAAGCAGGGGAGCAATAAGTTGAGATTTCATTTTGGAAATTTAATTCTGGTATCAGAATGCAGAAGAGTATGGAGCTGAACAACTAGAGAAAAAGAAATCAGCTGGTATCGGATGTAGAAGGATTTTCTATTGTATCATAGAAAATCTAAATGTTAAAAATCAAGGTAATAAGGTTCAAAAGAAAAGGCAGGCTTCTAAACTCCAAAGAACTTCTAGTCTATTAAAAACAAACAGGCTCATACTTTTAGAGATGCAGCTATAAACGTGTGCGTCGTTAGTACAGATGGGGTCCATGATTTTAGAATCAAAGAATCATAAAGGAAAAATCAGTGATGTGAGGGAGATCTGAAGTGTAGAAGTAACTTTTGAACTCTATCTTGCATCACAAGAAAAAAAATGGCTCAGCGGGAAGAAAGAACAGGAAAGTTGAGATTTTAGGGGAATGAACAGTGAACTCCCACTCCCTGGAAATGACAGTGAGTCAAGAGCATGGCACAATGGGTGGATGGTCTGGCCAAGGAAGCTAAGGTGATCAACAGACCCCATTTGCTTGGAATTGAGAAGTTTCCCAAGACACGAGACTTTCAGTGCTAAAACTGAAACAATCCATACACGCCAGAGCCCCACCCCACCCTCCACATAATGCACCGGCACCTTCTGTAAGTGCAACAGATGGGAACAGAAATGACCAGCTCCATCGGCCTCCTGCTTGAAGGAAATACCCAGCCAAGCTGTACCTGGCTGCAGTGGTTATAGCTGGCTGCTGGGTAGGAAAGATGTAGCCTCCTCGAAGGTGAAGTCCAATTTTGTCTCCGGGAAGCTCCATCTCCACTTTCTGTTTCCTCCATCTCACTTGGCCCCCCTGATGGATGTGGACAGATCACACACACTGGCATGACAATGCATTCATCTGAATGCATCGTCACCTAGCTGAATTACTGTTTAATTGGGCAATCAAACAAGAGAAGGGGAAAAAATTAAGAACAGATTTTGCCATTACTTAGGGACTTGAAGGAATATTCATGCCACGCTGAGGCTATTTGACATATATTACATGAACTGATAGTTCTGAACAAGTAATCTGACTCATGGCAAAGCTCAAAATGTCCACTGGTGCCTCTACCTTATTGATGAATAAAGTATATGAAAGTATGCTTTTCGGGTTTTATCATGACTGATGTTAAATAACTTAGGCTCACTTCATCTAATCCACTATGAAATTAGAGAAAACACTACAGAAACACAGTGCATGGACAGACAATTCTCTTTCCAGGGAAGTATCTCGTCTACACAGCTGTAGCTGTGGTCTCAAAGAATTTAAGAAAAGTCAAAGCTACTTACAGTCTCATAATCATACCAGACGGCATCGGGCACATAGGCCATCACTTTCTCTGCACCCTGAAATTAAGACAAAATATTGTTTTCCATGACCCGGTCTCATAAAGGGATAAAATAAATTTCTTAGCATTCCCTAGGGGACTTCTTCACCATAACTAAAAGTGCATAAATAGCCTTTTTTCTCTCTGTTACCGAATCATGCTGTACTTCTCCTGGGAATAATTGAGGCAATAACTTGGCCATTCAAAGAAAAAACCCAAATGGAACGATATTAGGAAGAATAATAATAATATTGAAATCTGTATTGTGGGGAAAACCCCAGCTTCACATTGATTACCTCGTTCAATTTTCCACCAGTTCCCACTACAGGTATGAGTATTATCTCACATTTACAGCTGAGGAACTAGCATGACAACTTGTACCAGATCTCACTGGTACTACGTGGCAGCGACAACAATCACACTCTGAGCGTCCTGACCTCACAGTGAGTGCTGGGTTACTACTCCATTCTGCCTCTATATGACGGGGCAAGTAGTGATCTGCTCTGAGAATCCAACACCAAATGGGACCATTCTTCAACCCAGATTCACCAGCAGATGCTTCTACAATGGTTGGGAACTTGGTTAAGAAAAAAGACTTAGAGGGAAAAAAAAAGTACGAGTATCAGATATCCAACTGCCCCTAATTTATGACCCTGGCCCACTGTCTTCAAGGCCGACTGCCACAGGTGTTGGAAATGGGTTTGGAATAAAGAGAAGGTAAAGGGTTCCAGGAAGAGAGAAGAGATTGATGGGTATGGGAACAGAAGCAGAGGCACCAGCATATCTCCAGGGAACACTTGCCTCATGCAGAACTGGAGTGATGAGGAGGCCGGGCCCCCATAAAAACTGCTGGTGCACATCCCACGTGCTGCTGTCCCTGTAGAACCTGGAGATTGGAGAGATGTTCACCAAGATTTGGGCTACTGCTTTCTGGAGGCTCCCCCACAGCCTGCCCAAAATGTGCAGGATCCCTGCCTAAGACGAACCCCCCAAGTCATTCTGTGACACCTATCAGGCCCCACCTCCCCACTCCCACAGCGAAGCCCACTTTTCCCAGCCCATGTACCCGCCTGCTCTTCCCCCAGGTTGGATAAGCTCCTATTCCAGTATCTATGCTAGGCAGTTCCAGGCTATAATTCTATTCACCATATCTCCCTTCTAAAAAAAAGTAAGTAAGATAAGCAATATATTTTAAAACTTCAGCTGACCAGCAAGAAGGAACTAGATTTGATCACAAAAAAACAGCAGCCAAAGAGATGGCAAAAACTCGCCCAAAATAATGAATACATAATAAAGCAGGTGTGTGCCTGAGGGCCTAAGGACACCCAAGAAAGTAACTGGTTTTGACAAGGGAAGTCTTTTAAGTCCTAGAGCCCCAACACAGAGCCTTACAAAGGAGACCATCAAGTTCAAGCTAGCAAATTCTTTCAATTAAGACTAAAGAAACTAAGGATGAAAGAACGAAAATGATTCGTCTAAGATAAAGAACCAGTTCATAGCAGAACAAAGAAAAGACCCCCAAGTCCCACAATGTTGGTATAGTTCCCTCCCCAAAAGGGAACAGTCTGTAATACTTACATGTACCCCTAGGATAGTATCTGGGGAGTGTATGTATGTATGTATGTATGTATGTATGTATGTATGTATGTGTGTATGTATATATGTATATATGTGTGTGTGTGTATATATATATATATGTATATACATATAGTGATTAGTTCTAACGCCCAGTTGCATCAACAAAAGTCCTCTGGGTTAAATGGACTTACTCGTGCAGAAGGGGCCTGGCCACTGTGTCCCCCCGGCTATGGGCGCGATAGAAGAGGGTGTAGAGATAGGGCAGCAGAGTGTAGCGGATGCTGAGGTAGTGTCTGGAGGAATTCAACAGCAGGGAGTCAGCTCCGAAGGAGGCAGGATCCTGGGCCTGGAAGAAAACAAAAGGTTGCAATTGTGATCTGGCTACGAATCACAGAAGCGTCCGGAGAATTCCGGACTATTCGTCACAAGGAAGCGTTTCCTTCCTGAAAGACCCCGGGACCCAGACTGCAAACTTCGTCTCTGATCAGCGTAGCTGGCAAAGGGAGACCATTTCACCAAGCAAGAGGCCACTGTGCACCTTGCAGCTCAGCCCCCCACACTCGAATACTCCTTAAGAGTGCTCTCTCGGGAGACTACCAGTTAAATAATTTTGAAATATTTCCTCATTTGATTCTCATTACAAAATGAGCAATGTAGATAAAGCATAGAGAGGTTTGATAAACAGACTCGCCATTTCCTTGACTGCAGCAGTCGAAACAGCAGAGGCAGCGGTACAGGGCGTCTTAATGGCACATCATAACCCTTGTTGATTGCAAACGGTAGTGCAAATTAGCCTGAGTGAAGCACCAGGCAGCAGGCTGGCTCCACAGATTCCTTGGCGAGGATGCAGAAAAGTCCAGTCCTAACGTATGCTGTTTATTTTGGCCCTATCTCCTGGGAGACTTACCTTGTAGCCTTGGCCGTTGTGATTCCTGGAAAATGGATAGAATGCTCCCAGCTGCATCCACCGCCTGCAAAGCTCCTCAGGGGCATCCAGTGCGTAGCCACATATGTCAGGACCCACCTGGAAGGTCAAAGACTGCTCGTGAGCACACCCCTCTTTGCTCTCCACCTGGAACCTCCCAACTGAACTCTGCTAGCCTCTTACTGTGAAGGCTAACACAGTGTGATTGAGTTGGGTTACATCCCGTGTCCACTCTTTATTGCCAGGTGACTTTGAGTAAATTACTTAACCCTTCTGTGCCTTAGTTTCCTCACTTTGCTAAAGTGGGCACTAAGTAATAGGGTTTTAGTAAATAAGATAATGTAAATAAAACACTTGATATGCAATAACTTTTCGATGACTAGTAAGTAGAAATATAGCTAATACTATTTTTTATATAAATTTATTTATTTAAATTAGTTTCAAGTATACAGCACATTGGTTAGACATCTATAATGTTCATAAAACGCTCCCCTCAATTGCTCCCTCCCTCCCCTGGCCCTCCATCTAGCCATCATATTAATGTTAACTGCATTCTCTCGGCCATAGCTTGTACTATTTTGACCACACTACTATCAGAATTAATTTTTCAAAACTGAAATCTGATACTGTCACTAGCCTATTCAAAAATCTCCAGGGTCTCCTTGCAGCTTATCTTATGAGCTCCCCAAAACCTGGTTCCGGCCCACCTTTCCAGCATCTCTTCCCATTTCAGTGCTACACCCCAATCCTTACAGACACATCAAATCCTCTTCCTTAGTGCTTTTGTTCATATTCATTTCTCGATCTTAAAATGACCTCACCCATTAGTCTGATAAAATATACCCACTTTTCATTGTTAAACTCAAGGGTCATAAACTCAAACTTCCGTGAAGTTTCTTTGACTTCCTCCCATGACACCCTGTGTTCTGTGTAATCTTGTCAGAGCTGATAAGTCCCTTTCTCAGGATCTCCCTTAATATTTAATGTTTATATCCCTGTTGGCACTTTTACTCTAGCTTGTCATGATTATTTGTTTGTATGTGTCTCCTCTTATTAAATTATAAACTCTATGGGGAATGAGAGGGTGTTTCTGTTACTATATTTATGCTTTTCTCCACCCTCACCATACATTCATAGCTTAGTACCTGTACATAGTAGGAACTCAATAAGTATACATGTTGAATTTAAACAAAAGATGCCAAAGCCATCTCTTGGGTGTTGGCAATGTTATGTTTCTTCATCTGGGTGCTAGATATACAGATATGTTCAGTTTGTAAAATTCATCAAGGACATATGCAATTTTTTTGAGTGTATGTTATACTTAAATAGAAAGAAATACTCTAATGATATCACTTCAAGGTTGAACTTTATAAGACAATACAGGAAAGAACGTCATGGTATCAGAGCCATACTGATGTAGATAAAGCACATGCTCTCAAGATATTAAATCCCTGGGCCATGGAGGGTGGGAGAGGGAAGCTTCATGGTTGGAAACTGTCTAGAATGAGGCAGTTTGGGACTGAGGTGCAGGAGAGAGCTTGGGATGTGGACTCACCATCGGGATGCCGAAAAGGTTGAACTCGAGCACGCCGGGGATGGACCAGCGGAGGTCATTCCAGGTGGCCGCGTTGTCTCCTAACCAGTGGGCTGCAAACTTGCCGGATCCCGCAAAGGTAGAACGGGTTATGATGAAGCTTCTCTTATTGGGGAACACAGTTTTGACAGCTCTGGAAAGGAAGGAAGACTCAGGAGTCAATGTGTGACCTTAGCATGTCTCTGCCCAGAGACATATACCAAGGGTCTCAAAAGCCAATCCCACATTCTTCTCCTCCAGCTCTCTCCCGGTAGGGTCAGAGCTGCTGTTAGAAGCAGACTGCACCATTGAGTAGATTTTATGTTTTAGTTTGTTTTCAGGTGTTTTATGTACATCATTAACTCCATAATTTCCAAGAATTTCCAGAGCAGCCTGAAAAAGCTAGTAACTAGAGATATACAATTTTCATGGCACAAAGGTGAGATTTAACTTTACATGGCTATACATATACATTGATCTTTCCCATTGTGTAATTTCAGACATCCACAAAAATGAACTTATGAGAGCCCCCTCTTGGAAATTCAATTCTTTCTAAGTGGAAACACTTTGGTCACAATTTTGTAGCAAGAAAAGACATTTTAAAATTATAAATGCATGCAGGTACTTTTATAAGTAAATATCTACATTTTTAAAATTAGAAGTCTATCATATACTTAAAAACATTTGCGCTAAAATTTTTTTCAACAACTTTCAAGAAGGCTAAAATTATATCATGACTTTGCTTATGAATAAGTGTGGTTTGGTCTGGCTTGTTGCTGTCACAGTTACAGTAAATAGAGAAAATTCTCGATACCTTCTCCTCACTACAGAATTTGAGTCCACGCACAAAGGCAGACACAACACATTAGAAGGATGAAGAGCCAGCATCTAAAATGCCAAAGCGCATGAGATTTGAGTTACTTACCCCTCCATCCTCCATCCTATAATGTCTATACAGTATAGCAGCAAGGAAAATATATGGGCCTCGGACTCATGCAGAAATGGGCTTAAATTGTGCTTTTATAATTTATTAGCTGTTTGACCTTGGTTACTTCTCTTTCTTTTCCAATCTTCCATTTATTTATTTATTCATTGATTCTTCCATTTCCTACATTCCACAAATATTTATTGGATTCTTTCTTCCCTATGTGCTAGGTAGTTGCTTTGCTTATTTGATAATAATAACCATACTTATCTTGCAGAGTTCTTAAAAGTAACACAGTGGCACCCAGCACCTAGCAAGATCGATAATTTGACATGTATTAAATCGACAGCAATAGTGGCCTTACTCTGCAGTGGCAATGGCCATGGAGTAGCCATACAGATTGTGGACATCATACTGCTTGCCCCAGTGCTGCACTGCATCCATGCAGAGGGTCTTACAGAACAGGTACCCATCCAGGACTCCTGGCACAAAAGAGGGATCAAGCAGTGAGTACACAGACACACTTTCTCTGCTCGTCGACTGTCACAGAACCTAAAATGGTGGCTCCCTGAGCAAGCATTCGTTGTGGCCATCCTGTAAATGATCATGTAGCTTCCTCACCATCAGAGGGCTATCCATTGGGGGTAGTTTCTCTGATACTTAAAGAAATTGTGCTGACCCACACATAGTCTCCCACCTGGGTGCTCACGTGACGGGAGGCAGGCATTTGGAAGCAAGACGATCTAATTAGATTTAGAGTCTAATTAGATTTAGAGTCTAATTCTTCAAACTGAGCTAAGTTAAGTGGTTTGAAAATAGAAATACTGGATGAAAGTGTAAATTAACTTCTCGCCCCGACTCTCATTGACCATATGTTATAAAGGATGGTTGCCTGATCTCTCTTCCATTCATCTCTTCTTTTTGGCTCCCACTGTACCACTCTAGTTCAGATCCAAATCACCTTTGGATTTTGACTGTCGCAAAAGTTTAGTGCTGGCAAATTGACTTCTGATCTATTGATTCCTACTGGACACTAACGCCAGATTACTATTTCCCAAACCATTTGACTATCAAATTTCCCTCTTACTAAAACAGAAATGACTTCTCTCACCAAAAGAGTAAAGTATGAACTGTCTCTCAACATTTGATTTTGACCCATCTGCCTTAATTTCCTATTTTCCCACCAGACTGGAAGTCTTTACGACATGCTACAATTCTAGCAGCTCATTCCTTTCTCTCTCTTTCTCTCTTTCTCTCTCCCTCTCTCTCTCCCTCTCTCTCTCTCTCTCTTTTTGTTATTAAAAGTATACATTTTTAAAAATTTTTATTTTATTATTAGTCTCAAGTATACAGTATGTTGGTTAGACATTTATATAGTTTATAAAATGATCCCCCTAGTTTCTCCTTCTCTCCTCTGGCTCTCCACCTAGCCATTAATTACTGCTGACTGCATTCCTTATGCTATGCTCCCCATCCCCGTGACCTTCTATCAACTACTAATTTGTACTTCTCTGGGGATGGCCAGAGGGGAGGGGGCTGGAGGGCTGGCAGAATGGGGTGAAGGGTTAAAGAAGTACAAATTAGTAGTTGACAGATGGTCCTTTCTTAATAAAGATACAATTTGTCTGTGAGCCTTTAGCTTCCTTCAGACTACAATAAGTGCTGTGGTTTCGGGGCCAAACTGTGAAACACAGCACTGTCCAAAGTTCAATCAGAGTGCACTTACACCATATTCTCTGACTTTGACCCCCCACACCACAGGTTCTGGCTTCCTTTCATCCTATGGTCCAGGTCTGTTCTTCACACTCCTGATATCACCAGACTTGACTCTCATCTGAAGACCAAGCCTGGTTACCTGGACTCTCTATGGTCAGCCCTGACCTGTGGGGAATAACTTCTACAGCAAAAGGGACTAACCCGTAGCCTCTGGCTTCTGCACATTTTCTCTGGCCCTTTCCCTAGAACTATCTTGGACTGTAGGTAGAAGATCTAGATTGCCCCCTTTTGAATTTATGCCTCATTTAGGAAAGCATCGTGTATTTTGATTTTCTTTCCTAGTTTTCTTTTTATATTACCCATAGTCTTATTTCCTTATGTATGCTTGTGTACAAACTCCCTTTCCAGGCTCTTCATATCTATGCTCATGAATTTAAAATACCAAATATGCATTGACACTTTAATCAGACTAATCACCAAGACTTACTGGGAGTGAATGGGGGATAATTGAGATTGCTTGTGGAACATCCTGAAAGTGAACCATCAACGAAGTTGGAGACTTCATTCATGTCCTACAAGATAAAGAACATGAACTATTAAGAAAAAATAACACGTCCCCTTATATTGTACTAAGTCTTTTTTTTTTTTGAGGAGTCAGAAAAATAATTCCAGATATTTCTTTTTTAAACCGGTTCTTATGTACATGGAGAGAAATAGATGTTCCTGTCTCCTCCATCCATTCAAGTTTTCATGGAGAAGTTTCATCAACTCCTTTTGAAATTGTCTATGTCTATAACCACTAAAAATGAAAAATTTCCAAACACATTAGGCAAAAAAAGATTTCAATTTATGTGATTCCATATATATCAACTTATACATTCTCTACATATCTAAATATAGTTATGAATATACACACATAAATACATATACATATAAAAATATATACATAAGCAGAGAGTGAGAGAGTGAGCATGTGCCAAGAGCTGTGCAAGTGCGGGGGCCTGAAAGATACTCACCAAAATACTGATAGCAAATGTTTTTGGTTGATATCATTTTAGAGAGTTTCACTTTCATATTTTTTAGCTGTCTGTATTGTTTAAATTCCCCATGTTTCTCTTACAAATAAAAAAAGTTTGACTCTAGAGTTCCCTAAATGTTGCTGAACACCAGTAGCTTTGCATTTGTTTTCATTTGACAATACATGAGACGTCTGCCCTTACTGCAGCCACAATTTTGTCATGCACCTGAGTACTTTGGCTCTGATCAATGTGTCCACATGAAAGAGCCCTGAACCGGCACTTGGACAATGTGTGTCCTTTGTGACAATGGAAGGAGCATATGCCGTCTTTTTCCTTCAGCTCATTCATTTGTAAAATGAGTGCTGGACTTGGGAAAATCAGATTACGTCCAACCCTAACAATCTGATTTTGATTCTAAGCTACGTGTTTGGTAAGATTATTTGAGTAATACGATAGGGAATTTGAACAGCAAGAAGACAAAACTCGTGACTAGAGAAGAAATGCACGACTCCAACACAGACACTGAAGACACTGAAATTGTTAAAGAGTTTGCGTGCCTTGGCTCAGTCATCAATTCAAACGGAGACTGCAGCCAAGAAATCAAAAGCGGGCTGAGACTCGGAAAGGCAACAATGGCAGAATTAGGAAAGATCATCAAGAGCAAAGACACGTGTCATCAGAGACCAAGGCTAAGATAACCCACACCCTTGTATTTCTAATTACTATGTACAGATGAGAAAGTTGCACCATGAAGAAGGCCGATAGGGGAAAAGACATTGATTCATTTGAAGTGTGGGGTTGGAGGAAGGCTCTATGGCTACCCTGGACAACCAGAAAGACGAACAAGTGGATCCTAGAGCAAATTAAGCCTGAAACGTCGGGGGAAGCAAAAATGACAAAACTGAAGGTGTCCTATTTTGGGCACAGCATGAGAAGGCAGAGCTTTTTGGAAAAGACAATAATTGTGGGTAATGCAGAAAGCGGCAGGAAAGAGGAAGACCAAATGTGAGATGGACTGACTCCATACAAGAAGCCATGGGTATGAATCTACAGGAGCTGAGCAAGACTGCTGAGGACAGGACAGTGTGGATGTCACTCACTGACAGGGTCACCAGGAATCAGAGCCGACTCGACGGCATGTAACACACACAGACAAAACAGGCAAGACTTAGAATTACTGCCATACTCGCTTTCCTCTTCTCTTCCCCCCGTGCTCCATGACTCAACGATAAAATTTCACCTATGATACACAGTCACCTATTAATCAAAACGTTAATAACTCACAATCCAGATTCCATCAAATTCCACTTGGTTGTGGAAAAGCTCAAACTCATTAGCCCACCAAACAGCACACTTGGGGTTGGTATAATCAGGAAACACAGTTTTTCCAGGCCAGACCTGTAGGGGGAAAGAGAAGAACATTGCTCGGAGTAAATTAAATGCGTAGGGAGTAAAATAGAGCGCTTCTGAAGAAATTCCTAATATGATGATGGCAGCAGAGGAACCAGGCACAGGTCCCTTCCAGTTAGGAACGCGAAGCCCTCTAAATACTCAGAGTAAGGGTCAGGGGGAGTCAAATGGTCACCTAAGGGAAAATTCGTTTTAAAAATATTGGTAAATCCTTGAGAATTTTCAGCTCTGGTTCACCCTTCCTCTCATTCTCTCCACTTCCAAGTCTAGGAAAGGTAAGTGAGGGAGAGCACTACACAGATTTCAACGGGCCCCTTACAAGTGTGGGCTCTAACTATCAATTACTCTTCCTTTTTTTTTTTAATTTTCTATCCACTTCCCACCAGACATTATAGTCAGGTCAGCAGAGGTATAAGAAGTGAACCAGTAGATGACACCTTCACAGAAAACAAGGACGCATAAAAGTTTGAGAAAGAAGTGGTCAAACTTGTCAAATACTAGAGAAATCAAGTAAGAAAAGAAATGAAACAGTGCCATTGGATTTGCCAGTCAGGAGGTAACTGGTGCCATTTGCCAGAGCTGTGCCAGTGAAGTGACGGGGGCAGAAAGAGGCCGGCAGTCGGCTGAAGAGTGAACAGGAGTGAGGAAGTGAATATTCAACATGGGGGCTATTGTTTAAAAGGATGAAGCCGTGAAGGGGATGTAAAAAGTAGGGTGGCTCGTAGGTCTCTGGGGATGAAAGGACAGGGAAAGTTTAGCCCCAGCATAAAATGTAAAACAAAATAATTGCACATACATGCGCACACACACACGGCCACAGCCCCTCTACCAGCCCCCAGCTACCCCATTAAGTTACCTCCCCAATGAGTGGCGTCACTCCATCTGAAGCATTCACCCATATCTTCATATCTGAACCCCTGTCATATGGGCCATAGGGATTACTTGGGGAAGAGCCGTTGGAGATAGCCGGATCCTAAGTAGGGGAAAAACACAATGAAGGACCTCGCTTTAAGCAAGAGGCACTGAAAGAAGCTTGGGAATTGGGGACGAAGGAGAGGGAATAATGACAAGGGAGTACAAGTACGTGATTTGGGGGGGAAAAGGTAGGACACGTACCACGATGATGACCAATTTCTGTCCGTTATTGTGTAACTCCTTAGCAAACTCAGGAAAGCCTTTGAAATCTACTGGATTATAAGTGAAGTCCTTCCTCTCATCCATATAATCAATATCGGCATGCTGAACATCCTGAAAGAAGACACAAAGTCCACGGCTCAGCGCCTAGGAATTTTCCTGTTAAAACGAGTCAGTCAAATTGTCATCATTTCTATTCATGATAAATGCTGACTCTGTGCTGGGCTTTAAATGGGGCTCTCAATCAGTCTCTGGCATCTAGATGCTTATATTTTCCAACAGCAATTTCAAAACAAATGACACACTGTTTCCCTAAGGCCTGACTCCACCCTGGAATCAGGTTGCCGGCATCATACTCCCTTGCTGCCTGGCCCTTGGCATTAAAAACCAGTCTACAATCAAACCGAAGCAATTACAATGAATCGGTAAGGCTATCGAAAACCATCCACTCCCTAAATCCTGCCCTACGCCCCCCATAATAAAGGGGGAAAGGGGCTTCCTCTCCCACTTCTCCCTCTTTTTGCTACCCCATGTTCTGTTCTGTTGGTTCTCTTCTACTTCAAGTCTTCTTTGATGATTATCCTCTCCTGATTTTACCTGGATGATTATAGTGGAGCCCAGACGAAACCGACTCTTGCTTTTTTAGGACCTGGGTGTCTGCCTCCAGGGGAATGGGGTAGGAGAGAGACTACTGGACTCTTTACCTTTGCATCTCTTGTTCTTTCCTCATTGTACGTCCATATCAAAGGAAAATGGGTAAATAAAGTCTTTACACTGTGACTCGCAGGAACTAAAAAATGATATATAAACTGAATTCCCCGACATTTGGGGCCTTTTTCTCCTTGTGTAGACTTTTTGTCTTTGCTTTCTCTTGTCTTTGCATTTCCCCTTCTCTAATAAACTTTCCTTTTGACCCTAACTTTGGCATGTGTTTGAATTCCTTCTCACGCTCCGCCAAGAACCCTCTTCTCTCTCAGCACGGGGCTTGAGTCCCCCCACTCAGGGGAATTTGCCTTCTCCTGCATCAAGGTGGGCATAAGAAAATTTTACCAATAAAACATGTGATCATAAAAAATAGAGACAAAACCAGATTGGCTCCTAACTCCACAACTGTAGCCTCTAAGTATGATTTCCTACTAAAAAGAACCAGCTCCTTGAAGAAATGGCTGGCCCAACAAAAGAGTCTAACACTCTGAATCTATAAAACTCTTTATGTTATGTATTTTAAAAACTCAGGGGGAGAAAGCATAGACCGTTATTCTTAGTCCTCTAGGAAACTCTTATTTCTGGAGGAATTTTTTAAACCCTTACTCACATAAGGGAGCTGTGCAGCCCAGTTTCTGTCCACGACTTCTTTCAAGTTGTCTAGGCTTCCGTAGTCATAACGACTGAGGTGAAAGCCAAGCGTCCAGTAGGCAGGTAGAGCTGGTCGCCCGATGAGCTGCAAGAAATATATGAAATAACAGTTAGCACATACTTTATTTTTAATAAAACTTTTTCTAAATGTGGGCTTGGGAGCACAGAACATATTCCATTTCCCAACACACACGAATGTTAGAATGTCAGTCTATATCCCAGCCCCTTTATAAATCACTGACAGTAGGGTTAATCTGTCAGAGCAGATTTGTAATAGCTTCGTATAACGGCAGGTTCTCATGAGTCACGCCTGCATATTAAACTTGCTTTTCTTGCGTCCTATGTAGGATTTCTTCAGTCAAGAATCATGAGTTTACCTCTAGATACTCTTGAACAACTTGCTCCGGAGTGTTTCCCAGGAACACATAGAAGTCGAGAATGCCCCCGATGGCACGGTAGGTGACAGCTGGTGTGGGCTGGAGGACAATCTCTTGAAAGATTGAAAAAGAAGAAAATCAAAATTAGAATTTATTCTGGAGTAATAATCACAGAGTTTTAGACCAAAGCATCACAGTCATCTGAACGTGAATATAGTGATCTAAATGCCTCAGACTTTGTGTGTAAGGTACAAACTCTGAAGATCCAAGTCCACCTTCCCTGCACGTGAGAGTCAAACCATCTGCTCTGTGACAGATTCTGATAAATGGTGACTGGAGTGTCTTAACGACTGAGTCAGGACCCAGGCTCTCATGAAAAAGCAGCCAGATTCATGAAGGGGTCCGGAATAAGCCACTGTGGCATAAAAATTATTTTAAACTGAAGACACTTGAGTTTCTGAAATCTCTTATCAGCCTAAAAGCACAGCCTCCTGAAAGTACTCCGCTGTCATAAATCCTCTCCTCTGGACCGACTCTAAGCTTCTCTGAGGCAATAAACTGGCATCACATCAAAGCAGTCGTTGTTACAGGAATATCTATCTCCCAGCTGTTCTCCTAAGGGCTCATTTATATCTCCAAAAAAGTCATTTGCTTTCCCACAAGTGCCTTTTACCTCTCTACCTTCTCTAAGAAATCATTTGTTTTGTCCTAAGTTCTTTCCCAACCCCTCCCCCCATTTACCTATTAGGATGGTACATACCACAAATTGTAACCATCCCTTTGAGCACTCTCATGCATATGCATGTCACGTGTGTAAATAACTGTCTTTCTCTTGCTAACCTGTCCCTTGTCAGTTTGATTCACAGGCCCCCAAATACTGAACCTAAGAAGGTAGAGACAAAATTTTTCTTCTTTGACATTCACAACCATACAACATGCTGTTCCTACCCCACACCCCACCATGACTACAGGAATATAACCCAACTAAACACACTGAGGTACCAGGCTCAGTGAATCTCACATCAGGCAAGAGCCAAACTAAAAAAAAAAGTCAGAGACTATATTATAAACTCGAAATCCCCCTATGCCCCAATCACGCCTCTCAGAGGTGAAGTCTCCCCATAGCCTTGGTTTGCATTTAGTGATAAAAAGCGTCAGGTTTTACTGAACTGTAGTCACTGGTCACAGGCACAGTGCACACGAAATCCTAGGATTCTGTGACCTTTTCTTTCAAGCCTGCCTCGGCTTGTCTTCAATGGCCTGAAACTGTACAATCCTTACATTATCACAGTGGGTTCCTGAACTACCAGGTCTCTCGGAATCATCTGAGATTCTGTTAGGTAGCTTAGAACCACCTTAGGTCACCCAGACTGATTTTCACACAGTCTGTGGTAAAGGACCTCAGATCGCTGGTTTTTAAATTTATGACTCTTTTGCAAACTGATGCTTTTGTAAAATAACGTGAAAATGAATTACTGGAAGGAGGCTCGTGCATGCATGTGAATGCCACGGCAAGGTCTGCTCTGTTTCTATATTCATCTGACCACAGACCCGAAACAGCTTGTGACCCGTCCGTGAGCCATGCTCTGAGCAGCATAGATCTAGTCCATTGATTCTCGGTCGGGAAGAGGGTGGGGCTCAATATCCTATGCCCACCATCACCCCTGGGAGATTCTGATACATCTCTTCCCCTGTGGTGACTGAGTCATTGCCACTGAGATCTGTTGTTACTGGTGCCAGCAGAAAAAGTTGAGCACCATTGATCTGGTCTAAAACCATTCAAAGATGGGAAGTTAGCTACCTTCTGGAATTCTGTGATGTTAGACTGTTTAGTACTAAACAATCTGATCTTAATCTTTATATCCCTCACCACTCCACTTGACCTTGCTACCCTTGGAGTGTCTGAATATGAAGTAGTGAACGTTCACTGCTCGGCTGTGGCTCCCTCGTTAGGCCCAGCTACCGTCAGCATTAGGCCCAGGATCAACCCCTCTCCTGGATGAAAGACTAAGAAAAGAGAAAAAAGAAAAGGTAGAAACTGCCTCTGACTAGATCACAGGAAACGGTTATATGTGTTAACTCTATAATAGAAAACATTCCAATGGTGATGACCAGAGAGCACGCAGGCCCTAAGCTATGGGCCAGCCGACCCTAACGGGCTCCATTCCTTTTTAATCATAGTGCTGTAAGAAAGGGACTGAGAGTCATTCTCATGCATTTTTTCATGAATGTCCCCTTTAGTCCTTTACCCATGGCATTGCTGTTCATCAGAAACACTCCAAAGGACAATCCACTAGCATCTTCAAGGCACAGGAAGAATGTCTGTGTACCATACAGGTTAGTTCCATCCTGCAGAAGGATAATTAAACATGGCAAATTTATAATCTAATAGTCAAACTCCACTTGGCCAGAAATGACTTAGGAAGGCAGTGTTAATCTTGCGAGTAACTGACAGGGAACTCGTGAGTAAAGGAGACACAAATACATTTTAAAAATATAAGGGAGCTATGTGGTTGATGTTAACCAAGTGAATTACGATTCCCTTGTGGAATGAGCCAGCTATGACCGTTTATCTAGAAGGATGGTGAGAGTCTGTGATGCCTGTTAGGACGTCAAAGAACAAGAATTTTCAAACTGTAGTTCAAAAAAACCTCCCCTCTCAAAGAGGCTTGTCTAAACCTGACCTAACTCCATCTGCAAAAGCTCCATGGAGCTGTAATGTGACTCAGGCATTTTTCTAATGTACAACTAGATGGAGTTCTACTTGAGATGTCTGGTCCTCTAGTCTTTGCAATAGTAGACTTCTGAACTTGACCTGGTCTTATAGACTTAGAACAGTACTGAGTCCCTGGGGATGAAAGCGAGCACTGACGGTTTGTTAAATTTGCCCAGGTGATTCAAATGTGCTGTTGTGTTTGAGAATCGCTGCTCTGGAAGAGCATTTCTCAAAATTCGGTGTGCATACAAATTACACAGGAATTTTAGTTAACAGTGGATTCTAATTCAGTGGGTGGAAGAGGGAGCTGAGGGCCCATGTTTCTCATATAGTGGAGCCCAGGCTGCACACTTCGAGGAGTGGCAAGGATTTGGGGTGCCTTATGGAACAGCCATCACCAGAAGCTCCCAGATCAGCTGCTCTGACCCAATGTGTTTTCTGTGTCTCTGACAGGCATATGCTGTCATGTGTTTTCTGTGTCTCTGACAGGCAAATGCTAACTTGGGGCATGGCCTCAAGTTAGACAGGCCAGGGGTTAGAGGTCATCTGTTACTTATCAATTTTTTTTCTTTTTTACATTGAGAATTTATTTGGCTTTTCTGAGCCTCAGTGCCCTCATTTGTTACATGAGACGAATTATACTTATTTTTTCAGAGTTCTTTTGGCGAATAGAGATAATATATAAAATAGTCCATAAATCAATCCTATGATCTTGTCACCCAGCCAGTAGTTCTGCTTACTCACGAAAGTTACTGACCAAGATCTGTATCTCTATGCCTAGAAAATGCCTCTGCTTTGGGTTTTAGCAGTCAAAACAAAACAAATAAACAAATAAATAAAACAAAACCAAAAAGAAAAGAAAACAATAACAACAAAAAATTCTATTCTTTCACTGTCCCAAACATTCTTCACAAGAATGACTAATACGGTACTTTAGTTGATATTTTATCCTATTTCACTGATAAACCTGATACGTTGGTGACTTATTAAGGTCAACCAGAGTCAATGTTAGTAATGTTTCACCAGAACAAGCTAGTTCCAAAGGAAGATACAATGAAAAGTAGTTGACATTTATTGAGCACTTTCTATGTGGCACACACTCCTCTAGAGACTCTGTACATATCAATTCATTTAATTCCCATCACGACCCTAAGAGGTGAGTATATTGCCCCCACTGTACAGACGAGGAACTGAAGACACAGAGAGGTAGCTTGCCCAGAACCACATAACTGGTGAGCAACAGTGCCAGAATTCAGACCCAGCCACCCTCCCCTGGGATCTTACTCATAACCATTGTACTATACTGCCAGGAGTGACCTTCAAGAATGAGGCTGTGCTAGTCAATGGCGAGGGGCCCTCCTAAGAACTTACCCCATTGGGGGTTGTGTCCCTGGCAAATATGGACCAGGTCTTCCAATTCATATCATGGAGGTACTGCTGGTGCACGTGTTCCCCCAGACCGTACACGTTGGCACTCGGCAGTCGAATAGAGAGCTGCAGGAACTGGTCAGCGAACAGGAGGGGGCCAATGCTTGAGTCAAACCTAGACACAGATGGAAAACACGGGGATGGGTGGGAGAGAAAATGACTACCTAGAAAAGTGGTCCTTATTTTTCAATTATTCAATGCCCCCTACTTAATTGGCCCCATTTGCCCTCCTGTGACATTTTTCCAAGGACACCAAGAGATCAGGACTTCTTGAGAGCAGGTACCATGTGGCACACTTCTTAGGCTCATCCCTTAGACAGCCTACCTCATGACCAGCATACGATTTCTGCATTATAGTAGATGTTCGTAACTAGTTACTGGTGGATAGGTGGTTAGATGAATGAAGGAAAGAAGGGGAAATTTGGGGGAAAAATGGTCAAACAGAAAGAAAAATGAGAAGAAGGACACAGCCCAGTGCCTGGCCTATAATAAATTATTAGTAAT